ACCCTGCCCACCTCTCTAATAGTAACTACTTGGAAATTAAGAATATACTCATGGTTATCCCATGGATTAAAGACAATATGAAAACTGAAATTACAAACCATCTAGAAAACAATAAAAAAGGATGAATATACAAACAGGACACAGAAAAAGCTTGGAGAGAAAATTTATACCCTTAAATTTCTTTGATAAGTGGTAAAGTATTAATAAAAGGGAAAGAGAATGGAACATATTTGAAAGCCTAAAGAAAATTATTGTTTCCCCTGCAAAATGAACATTACTAAAATTGATAGATAAGTATAGAACTAAAATAAAACAATTAGGGCTGAAGAAGTGAGAAAGGTGATTAAAGATATACCATTAAAAGGGTACTGTGAACACTTGTAAAGACATACCTCATTTTATTGCACTTTGTGGATATTATGTTTTTTACAAATTGAAGGTTTGTGGCAACCCTGCATCAAGCAAGTCTATTGGTGCAACTTTTTTCCAACAGCGTGTGTTCATTTTTGTATCTCTGTACTTTCGGTCATTTTTACAGTATTATAACATTTTTCATTATTATTATATCTGTCATGATGATCTGTCATCAGTGACCTTTGATGTTACTATGATAATTTTGGGGGGCGGAAAGCCATAAACCATGACCACATAATCAATAAATGTGTGTGCTCTGACCATCTCCCTCTCCTCAGGCCTTCCTGTTCCCTGAGACACAATAATATTGAAATTGGGCCAATTAATAACTGTACAATGGCTTCTAAATGTTCAAGTAAAAAGAGAAATCATACCTTTCTCATTTTAAATCAAAAGCTACAAATAATTATGTTTAGTGAGGAAGGTGTATACGAAGCTGAGATAGGCTAAAAACTAGGCCTCTTGCACCAATCAGTTAAGTTGTGAATGCAAAGGAAAAATTTTGAAGGAAATTAAATGTGCTATTCCGGTGAACACATGAATGATTTAAAAAAAAAACAAACAGCTTTATTGTTGATATGGAGAAAGTTTTAGTCATCTGGCTAAAAAATCAAACTAACCACAACATTCCCTTAAGCCAACACCTAATCCAGAGCAAGACCCTAACTCTCTTTAATTCTGTGAAGGCTGAGTGAGGTGAGGAAGTTGTAGAAGAAAAGTCTTAGGCTAGCAGAGGTCGGTTCATGAAGTTTAAGGAAAGAAGCCACCTCTATATCATAAAAATAAGATATAGAAAGAGCAAGTGCTGATGTAGAAGCTGCAGCAAGTTATCCAGAAGATCTTGCTAAGATCATTGATCAAGATAGCTGCACTAAACATCAGATTTTCAGTGTAGATAAGACAGCCTTCTATTGGAAAAAGGTGCCATGTAGGACTTTCATAGCTCGAGAGGAGAAGTCAATGCCTGGCTTCAAAGTTTCAAAGAACAGACTGATTTTCTTATTAGAGGCTAATGCAGCTGATGAATTTAAATTGAACCCAATACTCATTTACCATTCTGAAAATCCTAGGGTCCTTAAAAATTATGCTAAATATATTCTGCATGTGTTCTATAAATAGAACAGCAAAGCCTGGATGACAGCACATCTGTTTATAGCATGGTTTATTGAATATTTTAAGCCCACTGTTTAGAGCTACTGCTCAGAAAAATAGATTCCTTTCAAAATATTACTGCTATTTTCAATATACCTAGTCACCCAAGAGCTCTGAAGGAGATGTACATAGAGATTGATGTTGTTTTCATGCCTACTGACACAACATCCATTCTGCATAGATCAAGTAGTAATTTTGACTTTCAAGTCTTATTATTTAAGGAATACATTTTTTGTATGGCAATAGCTGCCATAATGATTCCTCTGATGGATCTGGGCAAAGTGAATTGAAAACCTTCTTGAAAAAATTCACCATTCTAGAGGCCAATAAGAACATTTGTGATTCATGGCAGGAGGTCAAAATATCAACATGAACAGAAGCCTGGAAGAAGTTGATTCCAACCCTCATAGATAACTTGGAAGAGTCACCGCAGATGGGGTGGAAATAGCAAGAGAACTAGAATTAAAAGTGGAGCCTGGGCCGGGCGCGGTGGCTCACGCCTGTAATCCTAGCACTCTGGGAGGCCGAGGCAGGCGGATTGTTTGAGCTCAGGAGTTCGAGACCAGCCTGAGCAGGAGTGAAACCCCATCTCTACTAAAAAGAGAAAGAAATTAATCGGACAACTAAAAATATATAGAAAAAATTAGCTGGGCATGGTGGCGCATGCCTGTAGTCCCAGCTACTTGGGAGGCTGAGGCAGTACGATCGCTTGAGCCCAGGAGTGTGAGATTGCTGTGAGCTAGGATGACGCCACGGCACTCACTCTAGCCCGGGCAACAGAGTAAGACTCTGTCTCAAAAAAAAAAAAAAAAAAAAAGTGGAGCCTGAAGATGTGACTGAATGATTGCAATCTCACGACAAAACTAGAATGGATGAGGGGTTACTTCTTACGAATGGGCAAAGAAGTGATTCCTTGAGATGGAATCTACTCCTGGTGAAGATGCTGTGAACATTGTTGAAATGACAACAATGAATTTAGAATATTATATACATTTAGTTGATAAAGCAGTGGCAGAGTTTGAGAGGGTTGACTTCAATTTTGAAAAAGTTCTATCCTGGGCAAAGTACTATTAAACAGCATTGCATGCTACAGAGAAATCTTTCATGAAAGGAAGAGTCCATAGATGGGATAAATTTGAACGTTGTCTTATTTTTAAGAAATTGTCACAGACAGCCCAACCTTCAGCAACCACCACCCCAATCAGTCAGCAGCCATCAACACTGAGGCAAGATCTTTCACTGGCAATAAGATTACAACTTACTGAAGGCTCAGATGATGTTAGCATTTTTTACCAGAAAAATTTTTTAATTAAGCTATATACATTGTCACGATATAATGCTATCTCATACTTAATAGACTACAGCATAGTGTAAACAGAACTTTTATATGCCTTGGGAAACCAAAATTTTATGTGACTCACTTTATTGCAAGATTCACTTTATTGCGGTGATCTGGATCTAAACCTACACTAGCTCTGAGGTATGTCTGTACATTGCTGGTGGGAATATATAATGGTGCAGCTACGAGAAAACAGTTTGGTCATTCCTCAAAAAATTAATCAGAATTAGCAAATGATCCAGCGGTACTATTCCTGAAAGAACTGAAGGCAAGGACTCAAACAGATCTTTGCACATCCACGTTAATAGCGGCACTGTTCACAATAGCCAGAAGGTATAACAACTGCCTGTCTTTCAGTTAGCTCTTGACATTTTTGTACTTTTGACATGCATTTCACTGCTACAAAATCACTTTTGTAAAGTTTTATTAACCTTTCTTTTTTCTTTAATTTTCCATATTTACTTTGGGAAAGATCTTGTATAACCCAGTGATTTATTGCTGAGGATCTCTGCATATGCATCCTTCACGTGAGATATATGTCATTGAGGAATTCTTAATTCTGTATTTCTTATCCATCATGTGACTATACTAAGCTGAGAATTCCCCTCACATCACTGGATGCGACAAGTCCAGCAAGTGACAGTTCTTGAGAAGGCATGACACTTGTGGGGCAGAAAGAATGAGTACAGCCTGTGTGCGATCAGGAAAGGGGAAAGGCTAAGTGCTGAGCAACTGCAGCCGAGGTGCCAGGGCTCGTGATAGGCCACAGAATTCCTGAACAATGACTCAGATTTATTCCTCATCACGGATGGTCCTCTATTTCTAGAATTTCCCAACTTCCCTAACGTAGCATCACAAGGCAACTGAGGCTGAAAACGCTCTGATGAGTGAGATGAGATGCAGAGAAGTGAGGACCATTGCTGGGCGACATCACAGCCATCATTTTGCTTATGTGGGTATCTCTGCACGTTTGAGATCAAGATATGTTTTGTGCACTGAAGAACAGAGTTAACTGGAGTTGAAGAAGTAGTTTATAAAGACCTTCTACTTGACTCGTAAGCAATCACATACAGATATTGTAAGAATTCTGGACAATAGTTTTAAAAAAACACGACTGTTAACATATTGGCAGGGGGCATAGGGAAAGTAAAGGCAAAAGAGACAATGCAAAATCAGGATGATCAAAATAAAAATAAAAATGAATGGGGTGGTGGTTTTTCTATTATCATAATGTGGGTTTTATATATATATATAAATATTAAAAATATATTGATATTTATATATTTATAATCAATGTATGTTTTATATATTTATAATTACACTGAGTATATTTGTAGTTTGCAGCTTGAGACAGAGATATATATAACCCCTATTGGATTTCCAGATAGTATAAGTTCGTCCTAAATACTGCATGGGACATACTTATAAAAAATTATTTGTTATTTATTTGAAGTTCAAATTTAACTTGGTATTATGTATTTTTGTTTGCTAAATTTGGCAACCCTATTCTTAAAAATTTTTTGTGTTCTATTTTTAATATAGAGGACTTTGTTCTCAGTGTCTGAGTAAAACTGATGTTAACTCCACCGATTCCACTCTACGGAAGTTCCAAGAAGTCTTCCAAATGTCTGACAATTTTACGGGGAGGGTATATTTACAGGTCTCTCCAGGCCTTCGTGTTCCCGCACCCTTGTGTACTATCTCTGTCCCCCAACTCCTCAATCTGACATGACATTCAGCTCTTTCCTCAGTTTACATGAACAGCTTCCCCACCTACTGCCACACATTCACACCAAGAATTTGATGTTTTGTTTATTTATTTGGTGGCTCATCATGAGAGGCAGTAACACCTAAAACCCTACTTTCTTCCCCTACTCTCATCTGCTGTACTCAAATTCTCTCTTCCTGGGAGCCCGTGGACGGCTAAATTCTTCAGTGAAACGTTGCAATCAGCCTTTTCTTAGGCCTGGACGGTGTGAATGGAAAGGACAGAGGAGCTCACCTTCTACTCCAAAAGATTAAAACATTTCCCCCCCCTAGAGAGACCTATCTCTCCTGAGGAGGAATTCTGCTACCAACTGTGAAGATAATGCATTTTATCCATCTTATTACATATTTATTATTAGCATAAGTGCAAGGGTACAAGAAAAGTTAGATTCAGTAATATATTACATTGGAAAAATCAGTGTGAAATCATGTCCTTAAAAGAGTTATTTTCCAGCTCTATCATTATTATAAATGGCCTAACAGCAGGGACACTATTCTAATGTATTATCAGCCCTCTGTGTGCACCCCTAGCACAAAAATTTTGATCCCTGGAGGGTAGATGACTCTAAGTTTGGCATAAAGACAAAGTGAGATGGAGCCAAAGCAACCTGTTGTTAACCAGAAATCAAGGCTGCTTCTTGAAACATCAGGGGGTAGTGCTTCAATAACAAAAGAGCCAGCAAATAATAACAAAAGTAATAATGCTGATCATTAAAATGGAAAAAGTGAAGCCTCTAAAAAGCCACAGTAAAAAGTTCACAGTAACACTCAAAAGAGAAAACACAAGGTGTGCAAAGAGGTACTTGTAATAGAATAAAAGAATGATTCTAACAGGATCTTTACATCCTTATTGATTTAAAGAAGCAGGAGAGTGTTGAAATGTAATGTTTTATTCTCTTTGTTTAGCATGTTTCCATATGTTCAGCACATATACTTGTTTGTATTTGTGTAAGAAAGAAGAAGGAGCTAAGATACTTGAATGAACCAACTATGACACAGGATTTCTGCATAATGAGGTAGATCTTTTTCCTACTATAGAAAAGATAAGAAAAGGAGGGACATTCTAAATACTAAAAAACTCATCAGCATTAATGGTCTTAGATAATAATGACTTACAAGGTTATCGTAGTTGATTACGGCTATGCCATACTGGTATATATAATAACTATTACAAAACAGGATGTTCCAAAATTATAAATGGATCAAATGTTCTGTAGAGGAAAAGATGAGATTCAATCCCTTATCTCCTAGAAGATGAAACATCTAATTATAAACAAACCCCTATGAATTTTAATAAGCTACTAATAAGAAATACATATATTTTAATAATTGAAACAAAGGACTTCAATGTATCACAATGTCAAGGCAATTGCATAGTACTTCTGGCTGTAAGAAACGTCAGGAAAGATAATAAATCTTCAAAAATTAAAATTTACATTAAGGACAGATTCAGTTCAGGAGGAAATGGTGAGAGTTAGATATAAAAAGGTATTTGGTCTATTGTGGGGACTGAAGTTTGCTTCATTTTGGACCAAACTATTGCCACCCAACCAGGTTCATAAGCCTGCTGCCCAAGAAGCAGCCAATATGCACAGTCAGAAGAAGGTTTTATGGCAGAGAAAGAGTCTTTATTCCGCATAGTGCTAACTGGGGAGATGGGAGACATTTCTCAGATCTGCCTCCCCGAGAATTTGGGAGACAGGGTTTTTAAGGGTAGTTTGTCAAGCAAGGGATTAGGTAATTAGGTTTGTTAATTGAGGAAAAATTATAGGGATGTAGGAATCATCTTCTTGTGTTGTTTCAGTCCCTGTGGTCACAATTCCGGTTGAGTAGGTTTCTCGGTATGGGCCGCTGGTCCATTGGGTGGGTCAGTCAATCCACTGGAATGCAGGGCCTAGAAGATATCTTAAAAACTACCTTTAGATTTCAAAAAGGTGATATTATTTACGGAGAAAATTAAAAATCTTTATGACCATCAGCTCTGAGGAGAATGTTGAGAATCTTTATGACCACCAGCTGCATGGCTCTGGAGTGGCATTATAGAGAAGCAAACAGGGGAACAGTGACTAATTATTGTCATTATTTTTAGCTAGGCCTTTACCATGGTTTTCACCTTGTACCCCGTTATTGAAGAGTGATGTCAGTACTACCAAGTCTCATACTTCAAACATAAGTGAACTATCCAATAATCTAGTTTGTGATATTCTGAGATGGCATTTGTTATTTTTTTCAGATCTGGAAAAATTTGCAAAAAAAAAATTTCCTAGAAAGGTTGTAAACATTGGTTCTGGTAAAGCTACAGAAAGTTTACAAAGAAGTTAGAAAAACTGGATCCATGGAAAGATGTAAAAATAACAATTAAAGTTTCAATTAGCCAGGCATGGTGGCACGTGCCTGTAGTCTCAGCTACTTGGGAGGCTGAGGCACGAGGACCGCCTGAGCCCAGGAGTTTGAGGTTGCAGTGAACTATGATGATGCCACTGACGGCACTCTAGCCCAGGAGACAGAACAAGACTCTGTTTCAAAAAAAAAAAAGTAAAGTTTTATTCATGGTATTGGCACTTTTGCCATCAGTATTATTTTGAGGTATTGATTAGTTATGAAATCATTGAATCATTGTGTTTATTTTATTTGCTCTTTACGATATTCAAAATACTCAAAAGAGTCACACAAATTACTAAATGCAGTTTAAATTATTTAAAGGAATTTAATCAAATTTACAATGAATAAATGCCCACAAAAATTGATTTTCTAAGTTTTGCTTTTTAGATATATGGATTAATGTATTAAGCACTGAGTTAAAGGAATCATTATATTGAACCAAAATGACTCCTCAGAGGTAATTATAAAACAATTTTGTTTTTGTCTTTCATTGTTTCTTTAAATCTGTTCTATTGGGCTAGTTCTGCCCCTGTTGAAAACTGGGGTGGGTCCGTGGTTCTTCTGAGTTCAGACACAGCCCTAGTTAATAATTAAAATATTCAGTCACATGTACTAATCAAAATTCAAAACTTAAAGCTGAGATTTCTACCTATTCCTCACTTGAGTCTGCTGCAGACAGGAATCCTACCAGTTGGGAAGAGATGTGGTTGGTTGCTTCTCCAGCACTTCAATTTCTAATCTCCATCCCTTTCCCTTGATCTGGCTAACTGTGTTTCTGACCACTTTGTAGTAGGAGTGTAGGAAGGGGGAGAAGGAGGAAGACAGGAGAGTTCTTAATTGACCAATACTATCATTAGCTGGTACCACCCTCTCTGGGACTCAGGAGATTAAAGTGGACTCCTTCTCTTTTAAGAGTGCTTCAGAAGCCTCCCCTTCCTCAATTATGGAGGACCTCTTACCTGAAGTTCTTTTGACCCTAGGAAGTGAATCTCTATTTTGGATAGTTTTTCACTCTTTTCTCAGGACTTTAATTTATTTCTTGATACCTTCAGATTCTGTTACAGTCAACTGTCATGTGAGTCTCTTAGGCAGGACCCACACTAGGTCTTCTGTGTAATCCTCTATATCTCATTTGTGGAGAGTATTCATGCATTCTTTACTCCAATGGAGTCTGGATTTGTAAGCCAATCCCAATTCCTATATTCTATGATCGAAATGGCAAGCTACCTACTGTCTTACCCTTTTGATTTCTTGCATGTGAGTCAGATATTTGTCTGCTGTGTCTCTAAATTGCATGGGACACATGTTAAGCTCTCCAAGTGGTCCTGTTAACCACTCTCACTAGGTTCCTGGGGAGAGGAGGTAGCTCGTTCCTTAACCTTCCCATTGGGAGTGATGGGTGATACTTATGGCATTGTTCTTCCCAAAGAAATCTACCCTCCAAATTCTCTTCAAATATTTAGCTCTTGATGCATTTAAATCCTTCCAATGGGTTTGTGGTGAACAGACATATGACTAGTTGTCAAAAACCTCCTTTTTGAATTTTGTGTATAGTCCAGTGCCTCCTTTGGAATACAACCTCTGTTGTATTATTTTGCTTTAGACAAACTTCCGTTTTAATACGTAGTAATAAAAAGTACAAATTTAGTGAGTATTCCACTCCATGCGCAAAATCTTCTCTATCAGAGACTACCAAAACATTTGTAAACATCTGACTTAAAAGACCCTTTGAACAGAGGACAGATTGTAAACATCTGTCAGTAGCTACTTAAACTGGGTGGGCTTCCAAATGAG